TGGCAGCTGTAGCAGTACCAGTGTCATTCTCCAACAACCTGCTTAGCAACAGCGTGATAGTGCGTAACCTGGTAATGCAAGATGACAGGGGCGGGCTACTTCGTTTTAATCGAACCTCTGAACTCTGTTTTCGTTCCGAAAAGATGACCTTCTAAGGTTTTCAGGAGGAGTTATAGTTTATATATTTTGCTAACTATCGAAAGGAACCTCGTACAGAAGCCGACATCCCTTTGTGACTGAAATATTTTAAGATTATGCTGTGTGATAATTATTATTACAGTTTAGGTAAGTGTTTTCTCAAATCGATAACATATTTCAGAAATTCGATCAATATTCCGGAGGAGATGTTGCTCAAACAGTTAATATAATGCCAGACCGGCCACTCTTCGTCCGTCAGTCAATCAGGCTCTCACCCAATATTATTCCACTTCACTAACATAAGTGAATTCAAGTCAAATAGGTGTCTTGTTGACTGAGTGTTGTAGTTGAGGTGCAAACGTTCCATGTTATAAAGAGTTTGTGTCGTTTGAGACAGATCACACGTGTGCTTTCTTTTGGCGAACATTTTTGGGTTTTCCCCTTTAAAATAAAGCCTATTTTTCTCTGTCTCTCCCCCCAGAGCGCATTCAATAAGCGGGAGATCACAGCACCTGACACAAAACATTAATCTACAACGGACTAAATGATCCCCAACAAACACACAAAATTGCAACAGGAGGACTTACCACCCGAAAGCCGAGCCGATGATGCAACCCCAGTGTCCCTCGAATACCTTCTCCATGCGTTTCTTCAGCTTCTGCGCGATATCCTTCTCCGGTAGGTCTTTGCGCTGAAGGCGAACCAGTTTGTCCAGAGCCACGTCTTCTTCCTTCTGCACGATGTCGGCCTTTAAGATTATCAGTTCATCAGGACTGCCTTTAGACTTTAGCGCCATGGTGTTGGAGGTGATGTATATTGTTTCCTCGCTAACTGACGAGCCTCTCCTTTTATACGCCTCAAAGTAGCGTCCTTCTCAAGCTCCGCACTAGATCACATTTATTTTCTACATCAGCGAGAGTCGAAAACAACAACAACTGCAACAGCAGATTTTGAGCACTTCAGAAGTACAAATAACGAAAGTACACAAACCGGAAGGTTAGCGGATATGGGCCAGCAAACGGAATGTCTTTATGCTACCAGCTCGGTGCCCTCCTAGCTAGCAACCCTACATTCCCCTGTATATGTGCTTCAACGGGCCAACAAGATTTAGCGTTGTGATAACTGATCAGCCTTAGTGAACGGCCTAGGTAGGGGGCGAACGTGAAGGGCGTAGTGCCCACCACGTCGGCGCCCATGCGGTGCAGAGGTCATTGGGATCACAGTACGCGAGTTGCCCCTGGGACAACCAATTACACGCGCCCATAAACTAATATCGGCCAGTTACTTACTCTCACGTCACTGCTATCGATCACTTACTTACTCTCACGTCACGTTTATTCACTCATGCCAAGCAGACAGATGTGTACGGAGGCCCGGGGCTTGCCGTGTCGAAGGTGGTTGAGGTGTTGACAAAGGGAAGATTTCCCAAATCAAAAGTCAGGGAAGACAGAGTTGGGTGAAACCCGTTTTACTG